TGGGGAGGAACTTCAGCTTGGTGACCCTTTTCCCATCTGATAGCACTTAAAGACAGGGCTTCTCAGTTGCAGGATCAACACTTAATCTGACCCAACTTCTTTGGTGCTGGGGGAATACACGTGGTCAAAGATAATGGGTCTGGGTGGCTGAGATGGCTGTTGAAACAGGGAGGGGTCACCCTGGCCCACTCAAATCACAGGGACAGTAGGCTGCTTTAAACTCCACTTCACTACACAGGATTATTCTCCACCCATCCAAGGATCTTTGCAGCTTGTTAACATCTCACAGAGGAAAGCAGGAGCAGGGAGCTCCTCTTTGTTTCCCTGTTCCTGTAATTTAGCATCTAAAAGGAGCTGGGAGGGGTTAGCTGCTCTGGCTCTCCAGCCTTTACTTCTTTGTTTCAATGTCAGAGTCTCACTCTTTAAATATTTATTAAAATAATATAATCTCCCTGTCTCCTCATCTATCTATCTTGCCTGAGGTCCTGAATGCCTTTCAAGAGGCAGAGGAAGACTTGGCAGACAGGAGACTTGGCAATGTGCCAAAACAGAGGTTGGAGTGATGCAGCCACAGCCAGGTATGCCAGCAGCCATCAGAAGCCAAGAGGCCAGGAAAGGACTCTCCTTGTCCCCTTCACAGGAGCACAGTCCTATAGACACCTGGACTTCAGACTGCTGTTTGCGAAAGACAAACTTCTGTTGTTTTCAGCCTCCAGGTTTGGGGTAAGGTGCTACAGCGGTGCTAGGAAACTGATATGTCACCCTTTACCCAGCCTAATGTTTTAAAGGGACAACCACCCAAACCACAGGTTGTAAAATCTGGATCTCCAGATATGTGTTCAAAATGAAACGTTAAGAGAATTGTAGCTGAATCTAGCTTCCCACTTGCAAATATATATCAAAGGCTTGTTTAAACACCAGACGTGCTCCCCCAGTTGATGAATGTGTTTGCTTAGTACAAGAAATGTAAGCAGAGTTTTATAGAGTTGCTAACACCACAGCCTCAGACACCCAGTTTCTGAGGGAAAACTCTTGCCATCGGGAGCAGCTGGGCCAAGACACAGCCCTAGCAACAATCCCAAAGCTCGGGAAATACACAGGTTACTAGACGTGGTCTCTGCACCAAAGAAGCACAGTACCTAGAGAAATGCCTTTGAGCAGCCAGGAAGAGACAGGGCAGATGTTAGAGGGGTGCAACCTAAGCACAGAGGGAAGAGGCCTTGGCCCGACATGTGAAAGAAAAACTGGGTGTTCATGCAGAGTGAATTGGCAGGCAGAGAGCCAAACCACCTGGGCAACCCTTGGCAGCCACAACACACACTGAGGCTACAGACCACTGGAAGCAATGGGAGTGATACCCAGTGACAAGCTGATCAGATCTGCATTTAGAAAGATGAGTCTGACTGAAGATGGATTAGACTGAGAAGGGAAGGCCACAAAACTGAAGCTGGGATGTGGTTGAATGGCTATACCTGGAGGCATGAGTGGGTTGGGGGAAGGGACCTAAGGGGGATTTGAGAGATAGACCCATAGGACCTAGTGACAGGTAAAGACAGAAACTGAGGAATAACCAAAGCCAGTTTCTCACTTAGCATGGCAGCCCTTTCATTAAGTAGACCATGAAAATGAAATAAGAATGGTCTTAAGGGAAGACAGAACAGATAGCAAGTTCAGCAGTAAGCTTGCTAAGCCCAGCCATGTGCTATCCAGATGGTGACATCTAACAAGGTGGCTAAATAAACAACATGCATTCTGTATAAATAAACACGTGTGTGTGGAGTGGGCAGAGATCCTGCTTGGGATACTTCAGGGTATGCCTATCATGCAATAAAAATACAGCAAGCTTCTACACAGGCCAGGCATGGTGCTGGGCATGCAGCAGGCAGAGATGGACAAGATGCACACAGGGGATCAGAGGGTCCTGCCAGTCAAGGTGCTATGGGCACACAGAAGTGGAACATCAATCGCAGAATGGGCTGTAAAGGTGTCTGGAGGGGTGAGGAAGTCGTGGAGACTCAGGAAGATAGAACTGGGAGTGGAGAGGTAGGACAGTCTGAGTGGAAGAGGCAACACACTTAGGGCCCAGAGGCAGAAGGCCGAGCAGGAACTTGTTTAGAGAGGGTGTTTGACTGCACAGTGGTGGGCCAATGCATCGGACTCTTGTGGTGGTTGAATTCTGTCCTAAGAGCAACTGGAAGCCTTTAACACTCGAGCAAGGGAGCAGCACACTTCTCACTTTAAGACTACATTAGCTGCCAAGAGAGGGTGGAGTAAGAGGTAAACCTGGAGGCTGGGAGCTGCTAGGAAGCCATGTCAAGTGGAACAAAGAGATTACACCACCAGAGCTTTTAGGGGTTAAGTGGACCACTGTCCCAGGGATGGATGAGTCTGCTCAGGGTGAGTGTAAGTGGACAGTCAAGGTCATAGCCCTTGGGACACCCCAAGTGTGAGCACGGGTAGGGGTAGAAGAGCCAACACAGCAGGCAGAGGGGGAGCAGACAAGAGGCAGGAACCCCAGGGCAATGTGGTGTAACTGCAGTCATTGATTTTCAAGAAAGAATGGGGGTGTGGGGGGAGCATCACAAGTCAGAAGTCAGCAGAAAAATGGAAAGGTTTCTGTGGCATTTGGCACTTAGGTGGATTTTAGTGAACTGATGATCTGTGGCTTTAAGGAGAGACTAAGGCTTGAAAACAGCAGGTACACAGGTAGCTCACAAGGAAAACTCAAAGGAAGGAGGCTGCTTTCAGCACGGGGTATAGTAAACTGAGGACTGAAGACCTGGCTTCCAGCTGGGCATCCGGCTCTACCGATCCTCCTGCCTGTAAAGCAGAGGCAAACAGTGTCTACCCCCTCAGCCTCCTCACAGGTGACCCTAAAATTCAAGACCTTTTAAAAAGATGCTGTCTATCATCTTTTTAAAGTATAAAGGCATTTTTTAAAAGTTCTTAAATAGCTTTAGGAGAAATTTTTAGGTGTGAGATTTGTAAGACAAGTCTCGAATTAACGAAACTAAAACAACTGACAAGAGCTATTAATTTGGGGACGAGTTTTTCATTTGTATCAACCCAATGCAAGATTATTTTCCCCATACTCTTCGAATGCTTCATATATTATTTTACCGAGGATCAGGGGCAGACACTCAACCTTCGAAAATTAGATTTGGAAACGAACATAGACTTGGAAAAGTATGGAAGCTGGATTAGAACCAGGAATTTGCACTTTGGAAGGCGGCTGGTCTACACTGGAGAGCCTTTCTTTAGAGCTGGTGGTTTCACATTTCTGTTATCTGGTTTTAATTCAAAGTAAGGGAAGTCTAACAAATGGAGTTGTCCTACTCATGCAAGGAAGCTAAGTCTAGGGACGCCGAGAATAAGTTGCTGCCTCATTTAACTCCATCTTTTCTTGTCCTTAAAAAAAGAGAATTTAAGTCCAGGCAGGCAGATGCCACGCGGAGTCGATAACCCGGGCGCCCCTGAATCTAAGGGAGCAGAACTTCTCTGCCTCAGTTCTCTGCGCCGTCCGCGGCGATCAGACCAGGTCAGGAGGAAATGAAAACTCGAGGGGCAATGCTCCAACTCCGCATCTGCCACAGCGACTTCGGCGACAGCGACAGGGCCATCTGGTCACTGCCCCGGCCGGCGCCTCGCGACACTCAGGGCATCAGACGTCAAGGCTCTCGCCTTCTCCCTCTGGGACGCCGAGGGGTCCCCGGGGTCCCCGCGCCCCAGGGGGTCTTGCAGTCACAAGGCCCAGCCAGAAGCCGATCCTGAGCGCCACCACCCCGCGCCCCCCGCCCCCGCCGCGCTGGGCACAACTACCGCAAAATGACCGCGGCGACCACCGCCGGCAGCCACGGTGGCCTCTGCCAGGCGTCCTCGCAGAGGCGACCCCGGACTCCCAGCCTGGCCGCCCCCAGGCAGGGACCGCGGGTGCGGGATCGGGTCGCGGACGCGGACACCGACGCCGCGGAACCCCGGCGCGGCTCCCACAGCCCCGCCCTCCCGGCCCCCCGGCGCGCGCGCCCCCTCGCCCCGCCCCCCGGCGCCGGCCGCCCAATCCCAGCGCCGCGCACGTGACGAGCGCTGCCTGCGATGACCTCATCCCTGGTGTGGGATGACGTCAAATTCAAGATGGATGGAATCACAGCGGCAGCGGCGGCTGCGGCGCGCGCGAGCCGAGTGTGAGCGGAAAGGGGCCCGGCGCCTGCTCCGGGGTTAAAGAGCGGTGAGTAACTGTCACGCCCCTCGCTCTAGGAGAACTACGGGGCCCTGTGGGGGGCTACAGCTTCCCCGCAAAACGCGGCCTTTCTTGACGTAACTCTGAGGTGATTTTTCTCTTTTTCCTCCACCAGCGGGTTGCGGGCTCCGGGCGCTTCTGCGCGTGCGCGGAGCCGTGGCTCTCACCGAGCATGCCCGGGCTCCCACGTAGCCGCTTGTGTCTTCGCACTGCGCATGCTCCGTGCCCGCACTTGGCCTCGCCCTCGCCACTGCGCATGCCCGGCGCCCTGGCCGGCTGTCTGCTCAACCTGGCCGGGTTGTCCCGGGTAGCGGCCGCGCCGGGCCTGGGCGCGCGTTCTTCCGCGGAGCCGTTGCAACGCCCTGTGGGGAAGGGCACGTGCTCCCGTACTGGGCAGGTGTGGGGTTGGTGAATCCCGGCCGGTTGGCTCGCGAGCGTGGGTGGCCGTGGAGATAACCCGCACCTACGGCGCCCGTGTCGCCCCGGCGCGGCTCTCTCTCGCGTGACAGCCCGGTGGCCAGATCCGGCCCGGCCCGCAGACACCTGGACCTCGCGGCTCGTTCGAGTCCTCCCGAGCCCGCGAAGACCCTGTCCCTGCCCCAGGGCTCTGCGCCCAGCTGCCTGCCCCGCTGGACAGAGCCCTTCTCGCCCGGGGAAGGCGAGCGGGTCCAGACGCAGCACGAAAGACCCCCGTGACCCTGGCCTGGCTCTCCTGATCCTCTCCCCACCCCACCCCCACCCCCCACCCCCATTCCGGCTTCGCTCATCGGAGCGCGACCTGTGCCCATCTGCAGAGACCGCACCTTGCAGTCATGGGACCGCCCGGGCCCGTGCACTTCCTGTCCCCGGGGCCTCGGGTTCTGGAGAACAGCACCCCGCTTGCACGTTTGCGGGGGGACGGGCGGGCTAGACAGGTACTCCGACTGAGGGGCGGTAGCGGGGAGGCAGCCCCAGCACAGCCTGGTTTTGCTTTTTGTTTTTTTGGGTTCTTTTGCCGTAGTGCACGAGCTAACAGCTCTGCTCACCTCTGGCGTCTGCAGGCATGTGTGTTACAGCATAGTCCAGTGATTGTTCACCAGCATGACCCTGAGTCATGAGTTCTGGGGTTTGTTGTCCTACCTTGCTTACGAGGACAAAAAGTGGGTTAATCCATGTGTTAGGAAGATTTCTCATTGAAAACTATTTTTAATTTTTTTTCCAGTAAATGCTGCCTCCACGTCTAACGATTAATCATTAATTAGCTTCACCCCAAAATACTGATGTTAAAGTGAGTGTAGAAATTTGAGGCGTTGGTTTGCTTAAAAGTAGCACGTTTAATTCGGTCTTTTGACACTATTGAAAGTATGGTGTGCTTCATTCTATGGAAGTAAAAATTTGAAGAAAGTAAGCTCTCATCTGAGGAATTTACAGTATTACATAGTGAGGAATATAAGATGTGCAGACTGATAATGGAAAGTGAAAAGTAACAAAAGAGGGGTGAGGTTATTGAGGAAGATTCCAGAAGAGAAAGACACAATTGAGGGGACCATTTTACTTGTACCCAAGTCACGCAGGGATGGGAAAGCAGATGTTAAAACTCTTTGAGAACTGAGTTTATAGGTCATAGTGATTGGGTCAAAGGGTAAAGAAAGAGAAGGGATTTGTGGCTGAGGACACTTGGCTGACAACATATCAAACTAAGTAGGGACTGTGAAAGATAAGCAGATGTGAGGGTGGGAACACCAGGGTGCCAGTCACAAATGCCGTAGAGGATGTGTGGAATATGCAAGGATGAATGTTCAGTAGGCATCTAAGAGGCTGGAATCTCAACAAGTCTGAACACAGATGCAAGTGTGAGAGTCCTTGTCCAGTTGCTGGTACAGCCACAGATCTTAAGAAAATGCCCCATGCTGGGCTGTAACAGAACCTGGAGAGATAAAGGTAAGCACGGCCAGGTCTGTTCTCTTACGCAGTAGATGCCTGCCAGGCCTTGTGCTTGGCGTTAGAAACACACAGATTAAAGCAAGTGCTGTCCCTTTTAGGGAGTCCCCTCAGAGAGCAGATGTGCAGAAATCATTGTGGGGTTATTACAGAGTGATGGAGTGTTGTGGTGGTTCCAGTGACTGAGCTGCTGGCTAGGGACAAATTGCAAAAGCTTTGTAAAGACAGTGGCATTTCAGCTGGATATTTCTACAGAAAGTAGCCAAGTAAAGAAGAGGTAGGAAAGACAATTTAGGTGGCACAAAACTGCGTCTGCTAGTTTGGAGGTAGATGGTAAGGGGTGCTATCCCAGTAAGGATGCAGAAATGAATTGAGACTGGAGTGTGAGGAGTCTTGTTTGCCAGTCTATAATAAGAACACAGACTGGGTGGTATAAACAACACAAATTTATTTTTTCACAAATAAATGTATCTCTTGGCTGGGAGATACCAAGATGTCAGAAGTAATGTTCCCTTCTGGGGCTTTCTCTTTGGCTTCAGATGGTATCTTCTCCTGGGGTCCTAACTGGTTCCTCTCCTTTTAAAGACACCAGCCTTACTGGATTAGGGCATATTTTAACTTGATTCCCTCATTTTAATTTCATCTGTAAAGACCTCATTGCTAAATATGATTTGGTTCTGAGGTGCCAAGGGTTAAGACTGCAACATGAACAGGGCTCATGGCTCAGCTCAACAGGCTGCCTGGAGGATTGGAGCTTGATTGAGCTGCAGAGAAGTTTGATGTGGTCTGTGATGCTTCAGCTGGTCAGGCTGTGTCTTAAGGACAGAGTATCAGAATCAGAAAACTATCACAAAGAACTAAGGAAAAGAACTTAAGTTACTTGAAAGCAGGGGTTCATGTTTGTAATATATTGCATTGTAGTCTAATGTTAACCAGGGCAGAGGCTGGCTCTGTTTGTCTCAACCAAAACCTATCAAAGTGACTTCTGACCATCCTTTGCATCCCTAGGAAGTGCACTGGCTGTCACGCCCATCATTTCTATCAGGACTCTTAGCACATCGAAAGTTACGTTTTTTGGTTAGTTTCCTTGTTCCTCACTTCATTTACCATGCTAGAAAGTGGGGCTTTATCTGTTTTGAGCACCTCTGTGTTTCAGATAATTTCACCTTGCCTTGCACATAGAAGAGTTGAGTAAGCTGGATTAATAAGAGACAGTTAATGTCTGTGTTGGGTGACGATCAAAGCCTTGCTTTAGGAAGCTTAGTCTGGCAGCAGCATTATTAAAATACTGGTTTGGAAGGCATGACAGGAAGAGTGAATACCACGTGGAAACATTCGTTGGGGTTCTTTCATAACGAGAACAGAAACTGGCTGACTTTGAAAAGGGAATTATTGTAAAGATATGTGGTTGCTCTTGGGGCTTAAGGAAAAGTTTAAAAAAAAAAAAAAAACTTGGGTCAGGAAGAACAAAAAACTAATTCCAGGAATGTATGCAATAGCCGCTAGTGGGTTGCATTTTCAGGCCATCATTGAACCAAAGCAGCTCCATATTGTTTTCAGGACCATAGTCCAGGGAGAAGGTTTCTCCTTGGCCTGGCTCTGAGTGTGTGCCTACAACGACCAGACTGTACTGGTAGGGCAAGAGTGTTCTTGCAAAGCAACATCATGGAGCTATTTGCAGGAAGAGGTGCCCAGAACAGACCAACAAAAGCTGCGACCAGAGTCCACTCACTGCAGTGCAGTTAAGAGCCTGAACTGGGTTATAGCGGAATTATTCCCCTGGTCATGACAGAGATTGCACCATTGATCCAAATTCAAACTGGAAAGAGAGAGACCAGAAATGCAATGAGGTAGACTACAGGGTAGTAACCTGACTCCCTGTGTAGGAACAGGTAAGCTAGTTTAGCTTTAAAATCTGAGGAGCTTTAGATAATTTCTGGATGTCTGCATTGTCACCAAGTCAGTGAAGATGAGACTGTAACCTAGAGCCAACTTCCTGTCATCAAGTAGTTAAGATCAACTGGAGAGGGTTAGGGCTAAATTCAGAGGTGAGGGCTTAGGAATGAGTATGTGTGCTTATGTTCCAAAGTCAGCTGGAGCAGCTTTGAGTGTCCAGCTTGGTGTTTGCCTTGTGTTACGTGCATCCCCTCTTTTTTCCAGTATCATGGTTGGGGTTCCATAAGCAGTCTCTAACATTCCAAAGGATCCATATTCCTAGAGGACAATTTTAGGTTAGTGTTTGGGCTTTGAAGAAAAAGTTTTCTCTCCTGTTTGTAAGAGCTTGTTGGGCTAGTCCTAGAGCCAAACTAAGTTACAGCGCTCCTTAGCTATGATAACTTAGCTTGGAAGTAGGTGAGATTATTTTGGTTCATTTCCATCTTCCTTTCTTGCCCCTCAACTCTTAGTGTCTTTGTATTGAGTGTGTGGCTGTTGCGTCACTGTCTTCTGCTTCTGTTCCTAGGAGGCTCTGTGTTCTAAATTGCCCACCTTCTCTTTTGCCTTCTCAGACATCATTCCTGGCACCTGATGTAACACTTGGATTAGGGGGAAAATACTTGGAGTTATCATTTAGTGTACCCGAGGTGATGGTATGAAGCAATTTCTTGGGATCCAGCTGTGAAGGGCTTTGTGGTCCTTGTAGAGAATTGGAACTTGGGCTAGGGCAAGCTTCAGGAGTTTTTAAGCTCTAGGAGCTGTGTCTATAGTAGAAGTGTGAGGAAGGGAGCCGTCGGTGTTAGGGTCGTGGTCAAGAGAGTGTGAGTCCCAAATCCTCCCCGATGTCCCCACTAATCACTTGTCCACCCTCCCACCCCTGGCCAGATTGGGCCTTTCATAGTACTCCTTGTGTTCTTTATCATATTGCTGTCTGAACACAGGATGCCAGCTAACTTCCTCATCTCCTATCACTAGCACCTCTTGATGCTTGATGTAGAACAGGCCCACAAAGATGCTCAGGAAAGGAAAAAGAAGGACAGAAGATGTGTGTTTGCCAAATGGGCCACTCTGTGCAGACCAGGACTCTCAGATGTTGCTTATTTGTGCCTCATGGAAGTTCCTTGTGGTACAGGTCATGCTATCCCTGTTAGTAACAGGCAAGGAAACTAGCTCTCAGAAAGGCTTTTATAAAATTACATACCAGACAGGGCTGTTTAAAGGCTTTTCCACCATGAGCTGTTAACCATAATGATTCTGTCACTTTGAATCTTCAGGAAACAACATAAAATAGAAACAGTTCAGGCAGAGTTTGGGAAGGTATTTTTGTGGGGGAATCCAAGTGGTAAGCAAGTCAGCCCCACTTCAGAATCTGGTTTTCCAGGGAGCTTCCTTTCAGCTTTTTTTGCTGATCATAAACAGGGCTTTTCTTTCACATCTCACTCACTTTCCTTTTAAAAGCTCCCGGGTTTTTCTGCCATGGCTAAAGGGACAAAACTTCTGTATCAGAGAGTCAGGTGGAGAAGGAGCAGGCGTTGGGTGGCAGCAGCAACATGAGATACACGGTCTCCTAAAGGAAGATCCTGCTCGTGCATCATTAAGACATGGAGGGAGCTGGGTCTGTGTGCCAGCACATTTGCTCTATCTGGATCAGAAAAATGGGTTGAGAAGAAGTATACCCAGCAACAAAACTGGCCTCCCTGAGGGCTAGACAGCAGAGACATTGACTGCACTTCTACCAGCCGCTGAGGTTTGCTGGATATCACATGATACTCAGCAGTTGTGATTTTCCCTTTTTGCCTACATTTGCAATGTAGCATTTCATATTTTCAGTGAAGTGGTTAAACTCAATAAACAGATAACTTACTGTGGGTAAAACATAAAAATTCAAAATGTTAATTGTCTCTTAGCTGGGCGCTGGTGGCTTATACCTGTAATCCTTGCTACTCAGGAGGCAGAGATCAGGAGGATCACGGTTCAAAGCCAGCCTGGGTGAATAGTTCTGTGAGACCCTATCTCAAAAAACCCTTCACAAAAATAGGGATGGTGGAGGGGCTCAACTTGAAGGCCCTGAGTTTAGGCCCCAGTACTGCAAAAAGGAAGAAAAGAAAAATTGTTTCAAGACATAATAATTGAGTTAAAATGTAAAAGGAAGTGCCTTAAATGAAGGTGAGGAGTCCACACCACCCAGCACCCTCTTTCCTCTCTCCAGACCTAGATTTACATCCTGGGGAGAATGGAAGATGTCATGCCCCTGCTTATAATCCTCCTGTGATCTTACTTTAGTTCCCAAAGTGTGCTTCCATCTCCCTCTCCAGCCTCACACTCCTTATGTGTATCCTTTGCTCAAGTCAGGTGAAACCACCTGGGATGCCTTATGCAGTCCTGTCTGTGACCTTGCACACACTGTTCTTGTCCCATGGTATGCCCTCACTTTTCTTGTCTGTCTCCTCCCTGTATTCCCTCATTATCTTCTGCTGTCTTCCATTGTCTACATAGTAAATCTTCCTCAGAAGCCCACCAGCCCTACATGGTCTGTTTCCTCATTGCTTCTCAGTTGTCCTTATCCATGGCTCTCCAGTTCACTCTCTCCAACCCCATCTCATCTGGCTTCTCCCTCTGCAATGCAGTCTTCCCTTAGAATCTCCAGGCTTGTCCCTCACTCCCTTGAGTCTTCTCAGATGCTTTTTGTTGAATGAATGAATGAATGAATGAATGACATGAGAAGTTCCTGGTGCCATTTGTAACAGCAGTTATAATTTCATTTGATTCTTACAATGGCATTGTATGGAAGCTGCTGTCATTGTCCCTCGTGTGCAGTGGGAAAGACTGAGGCTCAGAGCAGTTGGGTAGCCCAGTACGCTGGTGGTCAAACTCTCCCTCAGGAAGGGGGGATGCATTTTATATCTCAACTCAGTGCCCACTTGCATGTGTGGATATGTCTGTCTATAACTGAAACAACTTTCCGAAGCTCTTACTACGTCTGGTGCGTTCTGACATTGTCTGCTCTGTCCTAGTTTTATTTGTTTTGCATTGCTAGTTTCAAACCACTAAGTTGAGTTTAAGAACCCACTTGACAAATACCTGTCCAATCTTTGCTTTTGATCTGCTGCTTTTCCCTGTGGCAGCATTAATTCATAGTGCTACAAATGCCAATACATGGTTGAGTTGATACCTACGGCATTATCAACTCATTTCTTTTCCTGACCTCTGTGAAGATGAGAAGGGTTTCTGTACACAGATAGATTGTGGTTCTGATAGAATACTAGGAGGAGTGGACAAATTGTCTAATGGAGAAGGGAAAGTATCTCTGTCAAGCAGTCACAGTAGAAGGATTACATTTTCTCATTAATTGAAAGGGTCGCAGGCAGGAACAAAGGAAAACCAGGTGGGCTCTGGCCTGGGCATGGGTTTGTGGCCTTCCTAAAGGCTTCATCGCTAGCAGTAGAGCTTTGCCCCCATCAGCATCTTGCCAGAAAGCAAGAGTGCTGCGAGGTGTGTACTATGCAGATCACTCTAAGCTGGCAGCTTGCCATACTGTACTCTCTGGGGTCCTCCAAAAAGCCTGGGCCTGAGGTGACCAGCAGAGGCTGAACCCTTGAAGCCAGAGGGAAACCTACAGGCGTGCTGGGGCTAGACATGGTTCATCTGCAGTGTGCCTTTGCAGAATGTTCTCAGTCACCTTGGATCCATTCTAATAAAAATAAATGTCAACAATATTTCTTGAGGTGTTGGTGATCAAACCCAGAGCCTCATGCATGGTAGGCAAGTGCCTTACCACTAAGGTACCTCTTGGCCCTGTAATAGTATTTTTAATAGATGGCATTAAACCGTTGAGATGAGGTGCTAGCATAACAGAAGCCCGTGTGGAGGGGCACATGTGGAGAGCCATGCATTCTTCACTGAGAGCATGGGGTGGGGTTAATCTAGATCCTTTTCTTTGATACTGAATTAAATGCCTATTTTACTACAATGCTGAAAGTTGATTTCGCATTTGTTGAGCAGTTGCTATGTTTTAGATTCCAGATTACCTAATTTTTGCCACACCCCTGCAAGAGGGTACAGTTGTTACCATACTTCCTACAAGGGGCCTGCACACAGAGCGGCTAGCAGGCCTGCCTAAAGACATCAGCTCGCACTGGAGGAGCTGGCCCCTCAACCGAGTGTCTGGTACCAGCACTCACTCTTGCCCCCAGGCCTGCATGTCTCATTGTCAGATTTGAAGATAATTTCAGTGAAACCTTAGTTCAAACCCCTTAATTTAGCTTAAAGCCAGACCAAAGTTCTTTGTACACTCCTTGAGAACATGATTTGGTAAGAAAATAATATTCAAGAAATTTGAAAACAAATTAGTGTAAGAAAGAAAGAAAACCAGCTGGGCGCTGGTGGCTCACGCCTATAATCCTAGGTACTCAAGAGGTCAGGAGGATCGCTGTTCGAAGCCAACCCAGGCAAATAATTGGAGAGACCCCTATCTCAAAACAACCCATCACAAAAAGAGGACTGGTGAAGTGGCTCAAGGTGTAGGGCCTGAGTTTAAACCCTGGTACAGTAAAAAAAAGAAGAAGAAGAAAAACAAACATTTTTATTGCATCAGACTTCTAACCAAACACTTTGATTCGGTAATTAACAAATGATTTTCTCTTTCCAAGTTCTTACCTATTTTTAAAGGTCTGACTTAGTGACCCATTGTTAACATTCACATTATGTTTACATATATAAGGAAAGGTAATGTAGAATTATAGATTTTAGGAGTTTTGATAATTCACTCTTATGTATTCTCTGAATTAATAAGAAATAGAACCAAGCATCAAGTGGGTAAGGATCCTAAATAATAAACCTTTATTTTCAAATATCACTTCTATACCTGCCAAGTTCTAGCAGCATTTTGATAGAATAAAATGCATAAGATGTAGTCTTTGGTTCCTAATTGTTTTCAGTTTTAATGGCTGATAACCTACCTAAACCATGAGATGTTTTCTGTTATCAGTGTTATTTAAGTAGGGTTGTTCAGAGAGCCCTGGTGGCTGAACATCGGCCCTGTGGAAACAGTGGAGTGCTCTGCCCTTGAAGAGCTCCTCCCGCCGTAGAGAGCTCCCCCCATGGTACTCTTGATGATTTCACTTCTGTCTTTCAGATAAGGCGAGCGATGGAGGGACTACTGCACTACATCAACCCAGCGCATGCCATCTCTCTGCTCAGTGCCCTCAATGAGGAGCGGCTCAAGGGACAGCTGTGTGACGTACTCCTGATTGTTGGGGACCAGAAGTTCCGAGCTCATAAAAACGTCTTGGCTGCCAGCAGCGAGTACTTCCAGAGTTTGTTCACAAATAAGGAAAATGAGTCACAAACTGTCTTTCAGCTTGACTTTTGTGAACCAGATGCTTTCGATAATGTTCTGAACTACATTTATTCTTCATCCTTGTTCGTGGAGAAGGGCAGCCTGGCTGCTGTGCAGGAGCTGGGCTATAGCCTTGGGATCTCCTTCCTGACCAACATCGTCTCCAAAGCCCCACAAGCCCCCTTTCTTGCATGTCCCAACAGAAAAAGGGTGTCGGTAGAAGATGACGAGAGTAGCTCCCAAAAGAGAAGTGTCATCGTGTGCCAGAGTAGAAGCGAAGCACAAGGGAAAGCTGTCAGTCAGAATCTATCTGACCTGAGCCACATTCCCCGGCCCTCACCCAGCATTGCAGTCAAGACCAGTAGCAGCAAGCCACATATTGCAAAGGCAGTGGAACCTCTTCACAGCCTGTCATTAACTGAAAAGAGCTGGCCGAAAGATAGCGCTGTGGGGTATGCGAAATCTCTTGAGCATTCTGGGACTTTGGATGAGCCTAATAGAAGCAGTTTGGTGAAAAGAAATGCAGCATTGCCCTCAAAGCCTGCGCAAGACAGAGACGCCACGGATGATAAACCAGGTGTGAGTGGTCAGCTTCCAAAGGGAAAAGCTATAGAGCTGGCTCTGAAAAGGCCACGGCCACCTGTTCTGTCTCTTCGTAGCTCATCAGAGACTCCTTATGTCTTAAAAGAAGCTAACCAAGGAAGTGGTCAGGGTGAGGATAGAAACCTGTTGTACTACTCCAAGCTGGGCCTTGTGATCCCATCCAGTGGGTCTGCTTCTGGGAACCAAGGCATTGACAGGAGTGGCCCACTCGTAAAGAGCCTCCTCAGACGGTCACTGTCTGTGGATAGCCAGGTTCCTGTCTGCTCACCCGCCATAGACTTGAAATCATCCCAGGGGTCACCCACAGCACCAAACAGTGCAACAGGGAATGTGTTCTGTGCTTTCTCTCAAAAGTCATCTTTAAAAGACTGTGCTGACAAAACAGCCCTAGATGACAGGCCTCAAGTGCCACAACCACATCGCCTCAGGTCCTTCAGTGCTTCTCAATCCACAGACAGGGAGGGGGCCTCCCCCGTGACTGATGTGCGCATCAAGACCGAGCCCAGCAGCCCACTGTCGGACCCATCTGACATCATCCGAGTCACGGTGGGGGATGCAGCCACAGCAGCCACGAGAGACCTGCCTCTGAAAACAGAAGATGACCAGAAGGACATGAGCAGACTCCCAGCAAAGAGGAGGTTCCAGGCAGACAGAAGGTCACCCTTTAAGAAGGCCCGGGCACATGAGCACAGGCCTCCTGTCTCAGCAGACAACTGTGAGCACAGCATGAGCCCTCCTCCCCTGGACGGCAATTTCCCAGATTCTGACTTAAGCAGAGAGGAATTTGGTGAGTTGGAGGGGACAAGACCAAATAAAAAGTTTAAATGCAAGCATTGCCTTAAGATCTTTAGATCCACAGCGGGTCTTCACCGCCATGCTAACATGTACCATAACCCAGAGAAGCCGTATGCTTGTGACATCTGTCACAAGAGGTTTCACACCAACTTCAAAGTGTGGACACACTGTCAGACCCAGCACGGCGTAGTGAAGAACCCGTCGCCAGCCTCTAGCTCCCATGCAGTTTTGGATGAGAAATTCCAAAGAAAGCTGATTGACATAGTGAGAGAGAGGGAGATTAAGAAAGCCCTGATCATTAAGCTGAGGCGCGGCAAGCCTGGCTTCCAGGGCCCGAGTAGCTGCCCAGCACAGCAAGTCATCAAGAGGAACTTGCGCTCCCGAGCCAAGGGGGCGTACATTTGTTCTTACTGTGGAAAGGCCTACCGCTTTCTTCTCAGTTTAAGCAGCACATAAAAATGCACCCGGGAGAAAGACCCCTTGGAGTAAATAAAGTTGCTAAGCCAAAAGAGCGTGCTCCTCTGGCAGGTGCGGTAGAGAGCAAGGAGGTTTACCCGTGCCGCCTCTGTAATGCTAAGCTCTCTTCTCTTCTAGAGCAAGGCAACCACGAGCGCTTGTGCCGGAACGCCACCGTTTGCCCTTACTGCAGCCTCAGGTTCTTCTCGCCCGCACTGAAGCAGGAGCATGAGGACAGGTGTGAGTACAAGAAGCTGACCTGCCTTGAGTGCATGCGCACCTTCAAGTCCTCCTTCAGCATCTGGCGGCACCAGGTGGAAGTGCATAACCAGAACAACATGGCTCCTGCTGAGAACGTCTCCCTGCCTGCTCTGGATCACAATGGTGAAGTGACTGCCGCCTCCAGGCCTCAGGCTCCACCCGAGCCTAATAAGGTAAACCACATTGCTGCACCAAAAGAGGACACCGTGTTCAGTGACTCTTCAGAGCAAGTGAACTTTGATTCAGAAGATTCCTCCTGTCTCCCTGAAGACCTGAGTCTTTCTAAGCAGCTGAAAATCCATGTCAAAGAAGAGCCCGTGGAGGAGGCTGAGGAGGAGGTGCCTGAGGCCAATGCTACCCCCAGGGAAGTGGGCCCCAGCAAGGAGGCTGGCCTGTGGCCCTGTGAGAAATGTGGAAAGATGTTCACAGCACACAGGCAGTTGGAGCGGCACCAGGAGCTGCTGTGCTCTGTGAAACCTTTCATCTGCCACGTGTGCCACAAGGCCTTCCGCACCAACTTCCGTCTCTGGAGTCATTTCCAGTCCCATATGTCTCAGGCCACAGAAGAGCCAGTGCATAAAGAGGCAGAGGTATGCCCTGCACCCACAAACTCACCCTCACCACCGCCGCTGCCACCACCACCACCCCTGCCCAAGATCCAGCCCCTGGAGCCCGACAGCCCCACAGGCCTGCCTGAGAACCCCACCCCAACCACAGAGAAGCCGTTTGCACCCCAGGAATCAGACACACTCTTCTACCACGCCCCGCCCCTTTCAGCAATCACATTTAAAAGACAGTTTATGTGCAAGCTGTGCCACAGGACATTCAAGACTGCCTTCAGCCTTTGGAGTCACGAGCAGACACACAACTGAAGGGGCCACACTCTGACCACTGAGAGCAGGAGGCCCCTGACCTGTAAGCTGTGTCCTACAACACATTGCAGTTTTTACAAAAGAATAATAAAGGTTGGAAATTGTTATGCTTGAATTTAAGTTTGAGATAAACTGAATTAGTTAGAAATGTCCTCACTCGGCTTCAGAAATAAACTTTGGAATGTTACAGCTCTGGACCGCCAAGCAACAAAGAGCTTGATTTCATCACTGTTGAGATTGGCTCAGTCTCCATGGGTGAATTACAGGAGTCGTTCTAGGGTGTCAGTAGAATCACTTAATTGAGGTTTTGATTTTTTACTGATTTCTAATTAGCGGAATGCCATCCAAGTATTCCTTCTTTTGGTTCTTTTCAGACACTTTAAGTCCTAGTTAAACCTTAGCCATGTTCTTAAGGCCAAAAATGTATCAGGAAGAAATGGAGTCCTTCACAGTATTGATTTAGAGCATAGACTAACTAGCAATAAAAAAAAGATAAACCTCAACTTTAATAAGTTATCCTGGCACTTGATAAAGACCAATATTTGGTATTTTGTGGTAATGTAGAGCTTTCTTTTTGTATGAAAATTGTAAGAAATTAAAATGAGCAATAGTCACACTTACATTTTTATAAAATAACAAACTTGCTCTCAGTATAATGAATGAAGGTCATGCCCTGAGGGAGGCAGAGACATAGAACCTGATTTGCAGAGTCCCCTACAGTCGGTTCACTAGAGCTTCAGCAGCAAATGGCATCCTTGTAAAAGCCACTATGTTGCAGCTGATGTGTACACCACATCAGTCTGAATTCAGAGCCGAATTTGAAGGACCACAGGTGCTTGGTGTCCTCTGATTTGTGCTGTCGCAGCTTGAAAATCTGAGTGTCATTGGGACAAAAAACAACGCAAGCATATGGTACTCATTTTGAATTTCACATTAGTGCAGCAGATGAGATGGGGACTTGTGTTTAGATAGGTCCCGCACACAGAGGCAGCACAGCCATGCACGTTCTAGACCACCCCTTCCTTCCAGAGACTTCAGAGCAGGGAAGAAGCACCACCCACAGCTTCAGCACACCTCCCACAACAGTGTAGATGACATACACCTTTTCCTGCCTCTCTGTCTTTTGTGGAGACCTGTTAGAATGTCTTGGAGTCCGTGGTGGTTCAAATGTCAATAGCAGAATGATTCTGCTCTTACTATTCATAATATGTATTAAAATACTATGAAGGGTCCACAATGTTTTGCTACTTATTTTGGTCCATAAGGTTTGGGCTTTTTTTCTATTTTGTGTAAGTTATAATTAGTAATCTTTCAGTAAGTGTTATCCAAAGTTCAACAGAGTGTTTCAACAGGTAAAATTTTTATTTCATTTGGGAGGGGAGGGTAATATAAAAAAGAAACATTGAAACTACAAAATCCTTTTAAGATAGTGATACAGATTAAGTCTCCGAATTTATACACTTTTACACGCTGTTATTTCACATTTTAAAAGTCAGCTACTATGACTGAAAAATAATTTTAAGTTTGCACTCCAGCCAAAAAAAAAAAATCACTGTGCCCCTCATTCTTATTCCCAACATTCCACACCAGTGGTAGGAAAGGTATTGATGATTGAAACAGCATTTTTATACAATACTTACTGACTTTGTACATTATAGAGATTCTGTATGAAAATTTGCCTTGTATCCTTTCACTTGAAAAAGCTACCAAAAGGCCCCAAGTATTTTTAGGAATTTCTATTTTGTTCTTAATTTTGATGGGGAAGGGAAATAAAGTTAGGTTGCAGTTACTGATTCTTGCCATCTTGATATTTTCTTGAAATCTATGCATTTTAAAGATGAAACAAAAGCATTTGCCCTTTAAACAGAAGGAACGCCAGGCTGGATCATCGTACATTGGCCACCCCTCCTCATAGAGCACGATCTCACACTGAGCGTCTTGACGCTGGCAGTGCTTTTAGGAAGACAGTCTCCCAAGTAGTCATCCCTCATCTACATGGCCGTAGAGTGTCTGATAATCCGTGACACACGCTATTGACATGGAAAGTTCAGCCCCAAGGACTTGAACCTTTATGCTACATTTTTGAAGATTTTTAAACTAATATTGTTAATCAGTAAAAAAATATTTTTGATCTGAATATAGGTTCTGCATATCTGTTAGATTTTAAAAATTACCAGTGTTTTGTCTCGTTAGTTCGCAATTTTTGTGTAGGTAAGAAATATAAGATTTCCAATAAAATTTTGAACCAAAAACATTTATAATGCAGTTCTGGTTTTTCTATTGCTTTTTATACTGTACCTTATTAAAACATTAGGCTGAAAGAGTTTATTTTGGTGGTCAAAAAAATGCTTCCCCTCACATAACTATTTTAAATGTTAAGTAAAATAATGAAAGACACATTAATTGCTTTATTCAGTAAGCAGTTTTTTAAAGAGTGTTTATCTCAGCCAGTTGGCAAATACTTGGTGTAAAATAAGTTGGTTTTTCATTGTTGCAAATCTTTAGATAGTAAAGATATTCTTGTAAATGTTTTTTCTGATTGTAATTAATTTTTGCAAGTGTAGAAAGCTCATTAGTCCTTGTAGGTATTCAGGATGCCTGCTTTTTTTATGCAGTTGTGGGAAGAATGTAAAATGTTTTAATATATTCTCTGTTAATCTGAGAACTTGTTATTGAGTCATTTTCTTTATGTGGGGAAGGAGGGAGTAGCATAAAACAGGATTCTTACCACTCAGAGTAAGCAATGGAGGTAACAAATTGTGTGAGTTTTAAGTCATGTGAGTACTCAACATTAATAGAATACTCACCTTAAAAATTGTCTGGTATGCGTTTATAGTTTTATCAAATGTACAACTAACAACTCGATGTCATTTGCATCTGAGGGGAGAGGTGAGTTGTCCTGGTTTTCTGTTAGAATACTTAATTTATAGCCTCTCTGTAAAGATTTGCCCAGCACTTAACTGGCTGTCACCTAAATCTGCTGGAGCCCCTGTTGGTGCTGATGAGAGTAGGGCCTGTGGGGCAAGAATAACTGCACCCTTTCCTGGAAGTCAGGGCGAGGGCAATGTACAACTGGCAGAGCCAACACTGGTCTTTTTGTTCCCTCCAGTGGGCTGCTATGTGCGTGCATGTGTGTGAGCAACTGTAATGCAGAACTTTACAAAGTCAAAACGTTTTCAGATTCTTAGTACTAAAATAGTTGGGTATCATTCCTAACAGATTGCTTTATACATTTCATTCAGTTAACTGTTACTGGAATATTACAAGTCAATTTGTAAATTGCTGATGTCTCGTTGATGTTTTTTGAATAATTGTGAGATGCATTATTGATTTAAATAATGCTAATATACATTTTTATTAAGTGTTCTTTGACACTGGCTACTAAACTTATTTAAGTTTTTAAAATAGGTTTTCAGCTGGGTGTGGTGATGCACAATTGTAGTCCCAGCTACTTGGGAGGTTGATTCGAGCCCCAGGAGTTGGAGACTAGCCTGTGCAACATAGTGAAATCTTGTCTTAAGAAAATTAAAAAATAGGTTTTCCTCTTTTGTGGCTTTAGCACTTTAAGAAGTTTGACGTTTGCATAATTTTAACTGCGCTCTTTGCTCCTCCAGTGTCCCAGCCAGGGCTGCAGCTAGAAGGAAAGCCACTGGGAGTTTTCTCTGGAGAGAAAACTAGACCAGCAGTCAGTCTGGCGGAGAAAAACAGTGAATGTCAGGTGTTTTTACAATTCCCATTAAGAGACAGGCTTTGGGGAACCAAAGTATTTTAGCGTAAATCTTGAAAATAATTGGAGTCAATGCTCTTCGGTTATCTGTCAGTGCTCTCTGATTTCTAGTTATTCTTGGTTAATACTATCTCTAAGACAGTGGTCATTGGTTACTGACATTAATCCAAAACTAGCTCACACTTCTCACTGAATATACGCTTATTGTTTAAAGGTAAACAAATGAGTGACTTTATAACTGTGTAAGTTTTGTCATGCCTTTGCAGAGTAAATCATTCAACTTTTTTGGAATGAGCTTTTTCGAACTGAAAATTCATAGTAAAATAAGGTTAATCCATTGCTTACTTGTATCCAATTCTATTGTCTGTTTACTTTGCTTAAATCTTGAGTAAGAATGATTGGAGTCAATAAATTTGTACTGTATTTTGCTTTGCATCACAGTCTCGTTGTTGTGCTTTGCACTTTGATGGTGCGTGGCAGTGAGGAAGAAGTCCTCCTGTAGATTGTGAAGACACTCGATTTTCCCCATCCTAAGTTGCTGTGGAGTTGAGTGTGCATTAAAGCTCCCATTATTTGGGCATCACAGGTGTTTGATTAAAACCACCTTAAGGTGCCTTTCCACCTTTTTCATTCCTGTTGAAATGAGTAGTTGTTAAGCTACCTTTTTCTTTACTTTCAACAGTGATTGTGTGGGGGAGGGGCTGTTAATACAGTAAAAGAATTTGTAAGCATTGATATTTCAGCACACGGTTGGTAAATTAGTTTTATTTCCAGATTTAAAGCCTTCAGCATTGTCGCACTTTTCCTTCTAGCGAGGCTCTTACGTATCATGGGGATATCTTCCCCTCCGTATTATATTAGCTTTCCCTGTAACGTGAGAGCTGAGCGTGGGCATTTCACAAAGGCGCTAGAGGAGGGAAGGGCAGACAGACCTTGCCTTGGCCAGTGGATCCAGGCCGCGGGCCCTTCCTTTTCTGGTGGCTTGGTTTACCTTCGCCAGTCTCCTAAACTCGCCTTTCATGGGAGCATCTTTCCTGAGCACTGCACTGGGGACTGGCCATGATTCTTTAACGTCTTCCTCCTGCTTTCACCCTGCTGTTCACTTCGTCACCAAATACTGTTTTCTTTAAAACCTTCTCTTGTCTTTTTGAGGTTTGGGTTTGTCAGGCTCCTGTCTCATCCTCCTTGGCAAAACCATGTCCCCAGCCAGGGGCACATCTTGGCCTGTTCTTGCAAACATAAGCTCTAGGGAATTGGAAAAAAAAAGTTAGGTGGCAGGTGTTGCTCAAACCCGGCAGATGGTGGGAGAGGAAGGTCCCGTGTTGCTGTAGAAGCACTTCACAGATGAAGCAGCATGAGTCCTGTCAAAGCTGACCTTGGGTGTCATG